AATACAGGGATCTGAACTTCTCCTGGGTGTTTGCTCAGGGGTTTGGTTCAGCCTCACATCTAGCTTTATTATTTTTTTAAGAGTGCAGAGCAGGGCTGGCAAAGCCCAGAAATTGCCCCTGAAAATGAGAAATGAGGCAGAAAATCATGATTCATTCTGCACTGCAAGTTTTGCAAATCTCCATACAAAAGCGCAATGAGAGTCCCCACACAGAGATCTCACTGTGAGACTTTCTGCTCTTCCTACAGCAGCTCTGCACAGCCCTGAGCAGCATGGATTCACTCGGTGAGTTCAGAATTTCGTACAGTCCCTACCAGCAGGGCAGAAGATCTACGGCGATACTGCCTAAACTTGTAGCTTTGGAAAGCTGAGGTCCTCCTAGTCCCATTGACTCCAGGGAAGTCACACGTATCCTGCTAGGGCCCTGAGTTTGAGTCTGAAATTCTCATCACTCCTGTAAAATGACCTTAGAAATCCAAGCCTAGTCCCTAGGGGTCATTGATCCATATAAAAATACAATGAGGAAGGGGGCTGAGGGGCAATGGCAGAGTTGCGAAGGTAGAGGAGCTCTAAGAGTCAGAACTTCTCTGACCAAATATCAATCCATTTCCTTTACGAGCAGTAAAATCCACCCACATCTAAATTAACAAGCGTATCTAGGACACCATTCCTCAGCCCAGGATTTCAAAGCACTTTGGGATAATTAATTAAGTCACATAACACCCACAGGGGGTAAGTAAAAATGTATCATTATCCCCATTTTACAGATGGAGAAACTGAGTCATGGCAAGTCACATAACAATATTCATTAGTATTATGGTTAACAACACTTAACCCTGTTATGGTGCTTTTCATGCACAGACCACAAAGCACTTTACCAAGAGGGAAGAGTCATTCTCATGATCCCCACTGATCAGATGGGGAAACTGAGGCACAGAGAGGCGAGGTGACTTGTCAAGGTTGCATGTCAGTGCCAGCACCAGGAATTGAACCCAGATCTCCTGATTTTCTTTGCAACTCCACGACACCCCCACACACTCCAGTGGCTGGACGTTTCTGAATTCTGCACCTAAGAATGCAATCTTTTTATTACCCAGCTCTCTCTCTCTCTTTTTTTTTTTTTAAACTCATTCCCAGTTTCAGTTGCATTTCTAAAGCAACAGACAGCAAAAAAGGAAATGATGCCATATAAACATGTTGAGACCGAGTCTCTCCCAGGCCGCAGGGAAAAGCTACAGCAATGAAATATGACTGGGTCCCACCCTGAGTGATGGGTGGAGAACACCCTTGATCTTGCTTGTGAAATGGAGTGGCTGCTGCACGGCACGGCACAGCAAGGGGAACACTTGCAAAAGCAGCAAAAATACACTGTTCCTCCAGAGACGCTCATCCCCTCCCATCCACTTCTGGAAGCTGCTTCTCTGTCGCAGGCAGAGAGGTAACTTTGATCTAGTTCTGTGAGGAGCCAACTTGCATTGGCCAGGGAAGCAAATGTTAAGCTTGCGGCTATTGTGAAGGATGCAAAACCTTGGATCGGGACTCACGGATTTGGGCGCCTGCGCTTGTGGCTGTATGAAACAAACAAAATTCCTTTTTCTTTAAGAAATATGCCCCAAGCATCCTTTTTTTCTCCACAGATGTTTCAGTAGCAACAAATAACGACCTTGATCCTGAAATCCTAACTCAGGCAAAACTCCTGTTGAAGTCAGTGGGAATTTTGCCTGCAGAGAGAGTGCAGGACTGGGGATAACAAAGCCATATTCCATGGTCTGCTAAGGCCCATTCTGCGCTGCAGCTGGTGGAGGACTCAGTGTGAGCAGGTGGACTCTGCTGGAAGAAAGCAGGTAGCTAGAGCTCTGCCACCTCCTGCACCAGCTGCTTCCACAAATGTCATGAGTTTGAGGGTCTCAGGACAGTTCCTAGTGGAGAAGTGTCATAAAAGGGCATTTACTCATTAATGTAATAACAGGCACTAATTTACCTCCATGTTAGCATCATCATCAGACAGACCAAAGAGTTAAAGGGTCATGGACACCAACTTATGGCCTCCTTGCTAGGATGGCCAGCTGTCTGCCTCATTTGCAGAGACAGAGCACTCTGCTGCTTAGTATGTACCCATTCATGGGTAAGCGGAGCACTCCAGCCTCTAGGGCTGCCAATCCAACACCTTGCATTCCCCACAACATTAACATAAAAGAAAAAACTAGAGGGCAGGGCAACATCGGCAGGGAAAGGCAACCGCGGGCCTAAAGGGTCTTTTGCTGTGCTAATTATATGGGGCTTCTGCTCCAAGCATTCCTTCCCCTTTCAGAACCCTCTGGGTCAGACGCTGGTATGCTGGCCAGTTCAGTACAACAGCTGCAGCTTGGATGAGTCCCTGGCTGTCAATAGGTCTGTGATCACCAAGATGGGGAAGTGGTGGCAACCTCTAGGTTCAGGACTGACATGCAAGCTGCCTGCAGGTGCGTACAGTACCTGCAAGGGCCTCTCGCAGGCTCCCGTGCATGACTCAGACCCCACTGCGCAGTGTGGCTCCATGCAGCCATCACACAATCCACCACGCCCATGGCATGATGATGTAACATTCAGAAGGGCCCACATTTACCTAAACACAGGTCCTCTTTCTGTCAGAACAATCCGACATAAGGCTGTTGTACCATGGGTCATCAGCAGGGATAGAACCCAGGACTTTCATCATCAAAAGCCTCTACCAAGGGAACACCAAAGGAGAGCACCCATAGGGCCAAGTTCTGATGCCCTCACTCGGGTTGAACACTACCTTATTCCATGAGTGGTCCAACCGATCTCAGTGGTGCCAAGTGCAGAGTAAGGTACTACGCAGCAGGAGTGAGGATATCAAAATCTGGTCTTTATTAATAAGTAATTTGCAGGCTTTTATCTATGTGTGCCAGCCACTAGTGGGAGACATGATCACACATGCTTATCGAGAGTGCATCACATAGTAAAATGAGATACAAGGGAAAACCCAGGAGTGACAATGCAGATTCTCCAGGTAAAGAAAACTGCAGAGGAAAGAGAATAAACGAGTAACACGCAAACCATAGGCCAACCAGCAACTCCATGTACTTCCTAGATAACTTCTCTTATCACCAAAGAGACATTGGGTAGAATCAGTGATTCAAGGTCACCTACCAAAAAGAACAATATTTAGAGTGCAAATTCTTCAGGGCAGGGACCGTATCTTACTGTAGGGGATAGAGAAGGATTTCCTTTAGTACTTTTCATACTCTAGGGATAGACAATCAAGGCTTGCAAGGATTATAATGGATCACTGTGCCCAACGTTTTGTCTGGACTCAGTGCAAAACCATAAGTGATGTCACGTTCTTATCACTGCCCTGCTAGCTCAAAAACCTTTAAGACTTCTCAGAAACGATAATTCTAATCAAGACATCATGAAAGGTGTTAAGGAAATTGCCCCTCTTATTATTGCCACCTTTTCCATTTCTTAAAGTAGAGGAAATGCAAATGGGAGACACACCTGCATAACAGAGTTTAGACATTTTATTAGTTTCAAGCAAACTTGAAGACAGAGCTCAAAGTTCGCTGAAAACAGGTGGTGGTGGAGGTTGGGTGGTGGTGGTGGTTGCATTCCTTTAATACCTCTAGGGAGCAAGCAGAGTGGAAAAAGAAGTTCCCCTGTCTGGATGTAGTGTGTAATCTCACGGGCCCAAGCAGATTTAGGCCTGGGGTTACATTTTCAAAAGCACCAATGTAACCAAAGACTCAGCACCGTTTTCAAAAGTCACCAAGGAACTTAGGACCCTCACTGAAAGTCTATCGGACTCAGCCACTTTGAGGAACTGTACCCCTGGCCCGTACCTGGAGAAGAGACCTTCAGGAAACAGCCAGGTGCGGCACAAGTCAATAGTGAAGTCTTGCCCAGCTGCAATGCTAGGGGGCACTGTGCTGTTGCGGGTGCCATCTTTGGGAGAAGATGTAGAACAGAAGCCCTGATCATTCCCAGTCATCTCATCTGCTTTTTTCCAAGAGGACTCGGTGACCCTGAACCCTAAGTCCTAACTCTAACCAGCACTGAGTTTGGGGATAGGTTTGCATTCGGATCTGACTTGTGAGTTCATTGCTAGTTACCACTCAGGTCAGATACACACTCTCTGCCCGCTGCTCATTCAACACCGGGCGCTCCTGGTGGCCACAGCTGTTGTCGGTCAGCTGGCGCTGGCTAGGGGATATGGAGGATCATTCAACAACGCAAAGCACAGAAGACGTGAACCAGTATCTAAATTGTAACCAGCCTTTGGCTTTCACCAGCCAACAAAGACACAGCATTTATAGCAAACATGCGGGAACAAGAGAAGGAGCAAGAACAAAGCTAAATAAGGGGAGATTTAAATCCCCAAACTGCCAGCTGCACCCCCAGGGTGTTTTTACACAATGGCCAAATCACTGAAAAGTATCACCAGGCTTTGTAGGGTGCTGCAAATACCACTCAGGTTATCCTGGATTCAGTGCCATCAGCTTGGCTAAACAGAGGGCTCTGAAATGCAGCATTTCCGTCTCAGGCAGAGCAATTAGGTGGGGCAACAGCTTCAGTGAGACCTACCTTCCTACCTACCCCCTGCACTCCTGTCACTGAATCTTTCCCTTATTTGCAGAGATAAACCTGAAGCAAAATACTGGATCCGATTTCAGAAACAAGTTTCCTTGAACCTACCCCCATAATGGCCCCAAACCATCCACCCAGAAGTAGAGGAGAGTTCTGATCCAGATTGTGGACTGCTGAGATCCAGGCTTCTTGTGCTGCCCAAACAAATTTATTACCTCCGTTCTCAGGGAACAAGAAAACTTCCTCCCTTGCCCACCTAGAACATCTGGAGGCTGTTGATGTCCATCTTACTCTTGTCTCCACGGCACAGTTGGCTCCTCATATTGACCAGCAGTCCACTCCTATGGATTCTCATGCTGTGAGTTGCTCTCTGTACCCCCCAATAGCAAGGCACAGAGAAAAGAACACCTTACCGGATACCCCCAGTTGCTGTTTCCTGTCTGGGCTTTGGCATAATAGCTGCCCCGGGTCGTCCCATAGTTAATGCCATCAGCCAAACCATCATACATGGAACCTGCAAGCAGAAGAACAACATTAGGAACGGAAAGCTAAGCTCCTATGTGGTTTGCATGTGGGACAAGGAGTTCTTTGTTCTCTGATGGGTCAAGGTCTTCCCTACTGTCCACCAGAGAAGGACAATGGATGTATCACAAATCAGGGGGAAGAGAAACCCTCTCTCAATGGACATGGCTTCATAAGGCTAGAAGCCCCTTCTGAGTAGTCATTGGGAAAGGAATAAAGAGCAGGAGAGGGGTGATCCGACCTTCCAGTCACCTCTAAGGATCACAGTCTTCCATCTTTTCTTGTGTTGGGTAATGCCTTGCTCTGAGAGCAGTCCCATGAATTTCAACTACTCATTGTGAATCAAGGTGAAAGATTCTAGCCCTTAGCTAATGGTGGTGGAAATGGAGTTTAGAGGTTCAGTTCTGTCCTTATCCAAATCTCTTAGATCAAGAAGAAACCCTGCAGGTTTTCTAATCAGCTACCAGCATAACTCAGCCCAGAAACATGAACTTCTCAACAGCCTACAACTGACCAGCCCTGCTGTGTAAAGCCTCTTTCCATCTACCTCCCACTGGCAAACTCTAAGAAGGTAATCCTTGCTTCATTTAGCCAATTTCCCCTTCCTTCCAAAAGCCTTTTATATGAGGTCACATTGACCGTTAAGAACAAAGATTAGAAGAAGTGTTAACTGTCCTCCAAGCTGGAACTCCATTGTACCTTGTGACAGCACAATACAGTGTGAGTTAGTAAGACCTACATTTTTGAAAGTGCCCACTAATTTTGGGTACCCAAAATGAGACATCCAAGGCCTGGTTTAAGGAAACGTAAAGACCCACTGGCTCCAAATGATGGAATTCCACTGGAGCGCTAGGCACTCAACACCTCTGAAAATCAAGCCCAAAGCATCTCAATTTGAGCACCCAAATTAGCGGGCACTTTTGAAAATTTAGCCCCTTCATCTCTTAGTAGAGATGGTCCTAAACTGGAATTTCCATTCAACAAAAAAGTCTGGAAAAGAATTTGTTCCATTTCAGAATGAAAAAGCAGAATTTCAAAATTTCACACGGAAAGGAAATCTGAAAAAAATAATCAAAAATACTTCATTATGAAAATTCCAAAAGAAAATTGAGCCTGGAAGCCCAAGCTCCATGGTCCCTGGCCCAGCCATGGCTGCCAGAGCTTCCAGGCTCTCTGTCAGTCTGGCTCACGGAGAGCCAGAAGCCAAGAAACTCTGGGAACCTTGGCTGAGGCCCTCCCAGGCTCCCAGCTCTGGGGCAGGCAGCCTGGAAGCCTTGGTGCCCACAGCCCCAGGCCAGTCTGCATGGCTGGCTGTCCCAGAGCTGCAGACTCTGAAAGGCCTTGGCTCAGCATCCCACCTGGTGAGCTTACAGGAAACCTGGCAGATTTCTGATGGACACCTGCCTACAGGTCATCCAAAGGTTCCATGAAATATTTTGTGTTCTAGAAACAGGCATTTGTTGATAAAGCCTTGTTTCATCAGAAAATTCCTCACCGGCTCTCTTTCTCTCTCTTACATCTTTGACTGTTTGGTGTGCCAGCTCTGAGACACCCTGCAGTCATTCACACTGAGCTGTTCCTCTTCAAAGTGCCTTACAGCCACTAATACCAAGATCCTCAAAGGTATTTAGGCTCCTAACTTCTAACTCATTAATAACACCCACATTGGGGCATGAACAAACATGGCGCAGGTGAGCGCTCCACCCCAGCCAGCCTCTGGAGGCTGGCACATTCTAGTTATCACTCTAGGCCAGAGTAATAGCATGGAGGATGACCACGACCGTGTGATCATTCTAGGCTGGAGCACTATACCAGAGGGGGAGAAACACTGATCCAGAAGAGGTAGGAGAAATTACCCAGAATGGGCATCTGCAGGGAAATTTTCCCCGACCCCTCAGTGCCCATGTCTAGACTGAAGATTCTATTGTCCATTAAACTTCGGAGAGTAACTTCTCTAGAACCAAGTCTTAATTTGGGCCAGGGCTGAGCACCAGCATCTCTAGGCTTGGTAGTTCACAGCCCCGGCACGTCTGAGCTTGCCACATCAGTTATGAAAGTGAAAACGATTTCTTGAGCCCCGGCAAATAATTGCTTGAGCCCCAGCACCTCTTTCATTACAAATTAAGCACTGTCCAGAACTCTATTAATTTCTCTATAACCCTACTCATTTCATCCGTATTCACTTCCAAAGGACTTTCCTATAAGGGTTGTATTGGCAAGACATGTGTGGACGGATGTACGGCACACTCGCATCTCTCCAGTTTGAGTACTCCCCCACTCTGTGCATTCCCCTGGCACAATTCTCCGTGTTGATTTCAATGGGGCAGGTTGGTGCACTGAGTGCTGGGGTGGGGAAGGAGGAAGGTGGGACACGAATCTATGGGTTTAACCCATGCAGTTCTTCATGGTGATATGTGTTAGCTAACAAAGCCAGCACGAGGGACAGATCCTTTGGCCCCAGTTGCCTGGCAATAATTTCTTAGCTAATGCTCTCCTGATCTGTTCTCACGTCCAGTAACACCCAGAGTGGAGCTTCTATGCCTTCCTCCCTTGCCCACTTCCCATGCAATTCAACAGCTCCCCTTTTTGTAAAAGGGCCACTCTCTGCAGCCTTACAGCTCTGCAGGCTGGGAACTTGCTGCTTTATTCAACTTCATCACAAGAGACAGGAGAAAACTCCATTAACTAAAAGTAAGGGAGGGGTGGAGCCTGGCTCCATCCCATAATGCTCTGTGTAACCCAGCTAAACATAGCACAACTACTTCATTACACACTCCTGAGGCCAGGAAGGGTTTGGTGCTCAGGGCAGGTCGTGGGCTTATCTGACCCTCACTGTTTTGGGGATAATTTTTCCCCTCCCCTCCTTTTTCATAAGGACCTTGCCCTGAGCTGCAGCAAGACCCTTTCTTTCCCTAGCTGAGCATCACCCCGAGTCATTCGTGCTCGATGCTCGTCAATGGAGAGTGCGCTAAATGCTTCTTGAACTGGGTCACCAGCCAGCAGAGTTGCACGGTCATGGCCTGCCAGGCTGACAGATATTGTCTCACTGTTTCTTTGTACTCCCCCCATCGGTCTGTAAGACTTAGACTGTAAGCTGTTTGGGGCAGGGGCTGTCTTTTTGTTCTGTGTTTGGACAATGCCTACACAATGGGGTCCTGTGTACTCCAACAATACAAATAATAAATAAGCCCCTTTGAGGCACATGTTTGCTTTCCTTGTGTAGCCTCATTACTATGGGCTGGACTCGCAAGGAATTTTGCATCATGGACAGTTCGCCCCCCCGTGAGATTTAACAATTGGCATTATTACTGAGAATTTCTGTTGTGTATATATAGCACCAAATGTGCTACGCTCTTTAAAGCCTGGGGTGTGAAATCTGCATTCTCTCCTGTCATGGAATTGTGGCCCTCAGCTGGTAGAATTGGACAGGAAATTCAAACTCCATGCAAGAGAGCATCAGGGGCATGGGGAAATCAGTGTAAAACATCAGCCTCATTTTGTCCTGTCCTACTTAAGTAGTTGATGCTTCGGTTTATCATGAGCGGGGGGGGGGGGGGGCTTTGATAGGAGAGGAGGACAATGTAAGTCTCCCATAATCTGCCTTTCCAAGTGGAGGTGACTGTTGTGTATCCCAGATCTCGAGGCTCTGGAATTGAAAGCCAAAGTCTCCTGGAAAATGGCATGGCGAGGGGTGGAAAAGGGAGAGTACCGAGGAAAAGTCCCAGAGGAGGAGCATTTATGGAACTCTTTATTGGGGCTGGGAAATCCGCTGGTCCTGCTCACTGGGGAAGAGCCTACACTTGCCACCAGAAGTATTGAGACCTAACGGTTCAATGTGTACTGTATACCATTTATTTTAGCCCGGCAGTTAATGAGATCTTTAAAACGCATGCACTTGGACTAAGCCGGAGTCTGTGTAAGCCAGAGGGTTCCTAGTGGCAGGGTGAGACACAACACGAAGGACCACACCCTCAGCAGGTGTGGATCAGCATAGCTGCCCCAGGGGTACCGGCAGAAAGAAAAGTGGCACTGGAACCATTTGTATAGTGGGGGTGCGGAGAGCCATTGAACCAACTGCAAACCCTGGATACAATGAGAACAGGAGGACTTGTGGCACCTTAGAGACTAACCAAGGTATTTGAGCATCAGCTTTCGTGGGCTACAGCCCACTTCATTGGATGCATAGAATGGAACATATACTAAGAAGATTATATATATAAACACACATACAGAAAACATGAAAAGGTGGAGTAAGAGGCTAATTAATTAAGATGAGCTATTACCAGCAGGAGAAAAAAAACTTTTGTAGTGATAATCAAGATGGCCCATTTAGACAGTTGACAAGAAGGCGTGAGGATACTTAACATGGGGAAATAGATTCAATATGGGTAATGACCCAGCCACTCCCAGCCTCTATTCAAAGCCAAGTTAATAGTATCTAGTTTGCATATTAGTTCAAGCTCAGCAGTTTCTCACTGGAGTCTGTTTTTGAAGCTTTTCTGTTGCAAAATTGCCACCTTTAAGTCTGTTACTGAGTGTACACGATGGAATCCACTTCAAGCCAGGGGGTGGGGCAGCACGCTTAGTTCCCGCGCCTGTGAGCTGCACTGAAGTCAACAGCAGCTATGCTGATTTACACCAACTGAGATCTGGGCCACAGCATTATAGTTTGCAGCTGTACACACTAAAGGTGACATTGAACAGAGAGATGCTGGCAAGAGCAGGCTCGGGGCTGGTTAGACTGATGTATGGATCTCTATCGTTCCTTAGAAATAGCTTTTCTTTTACAAAGAAAGTAAGTCTTTTGGGTCTGCCCCTGCAAACCTTGTGTCCTGCTGAGAGGGTCTTCAGTAGGGCTGCCCATGTGACTAAGGGCTAGCTGCAGTGAGTGAGTTGCAGGAATGCCATTAGTCAATGGAAGTTAATCAGATTCCTCACAGGCAACCTGACCTTAAGCAGGGCTAAAAGGACTGATGGAGGGATAGGGGAGGAGATAAGCTATGTCAATGGAGCAGTTTTTCCATTTTTTTTGCAAATTCAGAAGGTTGTTTTTTTTCCAAACCTTATCTATTTAAAAAAATGCGAAGTGACACCACAGGAATAAACCACAGCCACCCAGTAAACAAGGAACAAACCAGGAACCCACATCACAGCGAGGGAATGGGTGTGTATTAATCTCGTTCATGTAGCGGAGAGCAGCTCAACAAGAACCAATGGCTGGAAGTTGAAGCCAGACAAATTCACATTAGAAATAGGGAGGGCGATTAACCATTGGAACAAACTAGCAATGGATAGCGATGCATTCTCCAGCTCTTGAAGTCTTCATCTCAAGACTGGCTACCTCTCTAGAAGACATGTCTTAGCCAAACACAAGTTACTGTGCTCAATGAAGGGCTAATGGGATGAAATTTTATGGCCCATGTTATGGCTTTAAAAAAAAATATCAATGTATGTTTATTCTAACAGCTCTGGAGTATGCAAAGTCCTCTATCCAGCCACAACAGAGATCGGCCTGGGGCGGCAACAGAGTAAGCTTCCCACACTCACTGCCATAGCAGTAGGAGCTGTAGGGACTCATCCCAGGATGAGAGAGTTCATTTTCCATGGCCCATTTATTCAATGGCCTCTCTGCACAAGGTGGGCACTGAGTTGCTGTTGATGAAGACACCTGCTCACTCAGAATCAGCCTGATTTGGGGTGGAATTTTCAAAAAGCACCTCATTTTAGGACCACAAGCCCCGTTGACTTTCTACAAGTTCCTGGGTCACATAGGGCCTTTTGAAAAATCCCATGCTAATCCAACTCCTTTCAAGTGACTTTGCTTTGAGATTCCACCCCCGCCCCACTCTCTAGGGAACTTTGGGATATCTGCTCTGTCTTCTGGGACCTTGTGCAATTTATATATCATGTGATGAACCCAGCACAATGTTGGGTGCCATAACATGAAATGCAATTTAGTCCCTGAATACACACAGAAGAATTAAAAAGCAGAAAATGTCCCAGAGTCGATGTTTCCTAAATATCTTGGCCAGGAATGTCCAAGGTGATTACCAACAATTAGCCAAATTTTCAACAGCAGCAGCCAGGTGTGAAGCATGGATTTAGGAGCCTATCTACCTAAACAAGGTGCCTGGTTTTCTAAAGCACGGAGTGCTCTGCAGTTCCCATTGAGATCCATGGGAGTGGTGGGTGCTCAGCACTTTGGAAAATCAGGGTGTTTATTGGATCAAATCCTCAAGGGCGATTCTGTTTCAGAATGTAAATATCTGCCCAATTTCTCCAGACATTTTTTGAATGGCACCCACTCCTGCCCATCAGCCGTAGGCTGAATCCCCAGCAGAGCTGTGGCAAAGGTGTGGGGCAGAATCGTCACGGACACCTGCAAAGATTTCTGCCTACAGTTGAGGTGTTTGTGGTGAACAGCGACCATAACATCACGAACTGGCAAAGTTGTCTGAGTCCCTGCCTCTTCATCCGGCACCTACTGTCAGCCTGGTTTGTTTCTTATTCCACCAGATCCTGAGACCACAAAGCCTTAATCGATAAAAGTGAGAGGAGCTAGGAACAGATTTACACATGACCACATCTTCCAGTTACCCCTGTGATTAGCGCCTTCAGCTGCCACAGACAAGCTTGCCTCTGCCCTCTTCAACACCACCTCCTGGCTCCCACAATCACAGCGGTCACAGCTTCATACACTACCATCCTGGCATAGTATGGGGTACTGCCTACACACATTCCGCCACAGAGCTGCTACATCCCCCATGCAGTGGGTTTGGCATGCAAAGGAAATAGTTCAAGCGGGCTTAGGAAGCCAGCTGGAACTGTATAAACATTTGGCCCCTACCCCAAACTCCATAATGCAGCCCTGCTTCTCCTCGGAAGCCAGCCCCACATTCAAAGTCAAGTGCTGCTGTTACCTAGAACATTTGGATATTTGACCCCTCTCATATTTGAGTCATCTATACATATCTGCCTTGAGACTCTTACAACCTTGCAAAGCCAGTCTAGATCCTCAAGGGTTGAGCAGAGACCTTTGCATGTCTCATTCAGCATCAGTATCACTCATCCTTCCTGCTAACACCTCTCACTATCCTTCCATCACAGCTGGACATCTTCTCCCCAGGAGGATGTGTCCCAGCTTTGCCGCTCTTACAGCAGGAGTGAAATCCAGATCACAAGGCCACTGGAAATCACAAGCACAACTGAGACCGGAATAACTTGGCGCAATGGATGGTGAGAGCGGCTCAGCTGTAGGTGACCCAATCACAAAGCCCTTCCCGACACATGGACCACGCTGCACGGGGAGGGGGAGAGGGTGGGGACGCAGTTTGGCTCTGAGGTTTTTTTGGTTTTTGTTTTTTTCCCCTCTGCTGGAGAATTTCTACAGTTCCCCAAAGGAAGAACAATGAAGCAAACTCTAAAGAGAAAGGATGGTCCTGGGGTTAAGGCTCTGCCTTAAGAGACAGGGCTCTTCAGTTCTTTTCCCATCTCTGCCACAGACTTGCTGTGTAACCACGGATGAGTTGCTTTGCTTGTACCTCACTAACCCGGTCTGTAAAATGTGAGCAACGTTGCTGACCTGCTTTTCAGTCGGGTTCATAAAAGCGCTTTGAGCTCAGGTGCACAGTTATAGTAATGAGCCGGGGGAGAGATGATTGTCACCTTTCAAATGTGATAGGGATTCCTCATCCTCCATCATCTCCTCTTAGGTGCTAACAAATCGACAGAGCAGCGATTGCCAGAGCAAACCAGCCATATCCTGTGATTTACAAAGCGCATTTACATTTACAAAGAATGTATCCTGTGATTTACAAAGCGTGGGCTCTCCACCACTCTAAACTCCTTAGCATGCCTGAGCTGCTACACTGTCCCTGTGTAAAGACAGCACATGTCTAGCTGGCTGCACTGAGCCTAGCAGGGCCATTACAGGAAACCATGCATTGGGCTGCTCATGGTCAGTGTTCCTAAGCCTGGACTAGAGGGGGAGGAAGCCACCCAAAGGGCACAAAGCTGTGAGCCCAGATACAGAGCAGGTCATAAGACATTTGGCAAATAATCCAAACAGCAGGGAAATACTCAGAGGAAAGCTGGGAAAATAGATCACTGTCTGGGAAGTGAAACACTATTTAGAGTCAGGGAACAAGCAGTTAATAATGCTTTGCACCTTCCATCTGATGCTGCCAAAGCACATCATGAAGATACATTAACTATGCCCCAAAGCAAGCCATGAGAAGGGGATGATTGCCACTTTCCACATGGGGAAACGGAGGCACGGGTGGTTAAAGTCACTTGCTCAGGATCACACAGCAACAGTCAGGGATTGAACCCAGAGGTCCTGACTCCTAGTCCTGTGCTAGCCCTTCCAGAGGCTGTAAGATTTCCTGCCATTTCCTCTGGACAGAGAAATCCCAGCAGGCAACTCCAGAGAAACGGGCCAGCTTGTCTCTTTTCGACAAAACCCAGCAGAACCAAATAGCCTAGATTACAAAGACCCCAAATAAAAACCCACTGTGGGTTCTCAGTTGGCTCAGGGAGGGGGAACGTGAATCCCTTGCTACTCGGAGCGCGGCAGCGCGGAGCAAACCCTTCCTTTGTTTTACCTCGGTTGGAGTGCCCAAGGTTCGACGACTGAGAGGATTTTTGCTTCTGCCGTTTCACCGTCATCATCACCTGCTCCTGGACTCTCTGTTTTCCCGTGCCCCTAGTTTTCAGCTTGTGATCCGAGGGCAAGGCCAATGTAGAACTGGCCTGGTCTTGGAAACACTCATAAGCCAGGGCTGTTTTCAGCGGAGAGTGAAGCATGGCTGCAGAGAGAGCGAGTGGAGTACAACTTCACCTGACTGCACTTCAGAAAACACAATGGTAACAATTCTTGAGCTGGGGTTAAACCTCAAGAATCCCTCCTTGCCATACGGCCCTCTGCTGCTGGCTTCTCCGCGCTCCTTCCCCTGGCTCTCTGGCTGGGGTGTGAGCCGGCACGCCCTCCGTCAGACTGGATATACAGCTCCCTGCCTGCACACACCCACTCCGAGAGCACAGCACGCTCAGCTCAGGTGCTGCAGGGCAGGCAAGTTATTGCTGACCTGGATGCGATTGCGCTTTTTACACTCATTACATAAATGCACCAGGCAATAGAGAAGCGAGAGCAGGCAGGTGGAGAGGGAGGGGAACAGACTCGGGAAACTTCATCCTCGGAGTGACGGCTTCCAGTTCCCCTTCGCAGATTCATTGCCAGCTGTGTGTCTAGATAGAAAACTCTACCCTGCGTGACCGCCCTCCTCCCCGGCAATTGATCACTGGGCCCTTCCCCATGCAGCCTGCTCCCGCCCTTCTTTGCTTTGAGGTTTTTTCTTTTCCCTAGTACGAACTGGATCAGCATCCAGCACCAACGGCCTAGGGGATAGGTGGCTTCTCTACGCTGCAGGGTAAATCCAGGTCTGCTACAGCGGCCACGCTGCAGTGTAAACCCGGGTTTCAATTGCTGGACCCAGGTCTCTCAGCCGTGCCAACGCGTCCATATTGCGCTATGCTGAACTTCTGACTTTGTTGCAAGCCCTGTCATTTTGCAGCTCAAGCTGCTGATCCAAGTCTCAGCAGGACTCAGGCTCTGACCCACCCCCACAGCAGGGTCCATGGGCACAAGTCCAGAGGGGTTCCTGGCCCAAGTCAGACTGATTTCTGCACGGACAGGAGCGGGGTTTGGGCTCAATCCAGAGTTTGAGCTGCCTGGCTTGACAGCGCAGCACAGACGTACCCTATGGGGCAAGAGACAATTTCAGACATGGTGTCTGCTCAGAGGACGTGTGTGGGGGCGACGCACTACACAGAGCTCAGGGGAGCTGGGTTCAGATCCTGGATCTTCCACAGACACCCTGTGTGACCCTTGGCAAGTCAATCTCTCTCTGACTCCGTTCCCCTTCTGTCAAAGGATAACCCTTCCTTTGTCCACTTAGCCTGAAAGCTTTGGGGGGCAGGGAACGCCTCCCACCATGTGTATGGACAGTGCATAGCACAATAAGGCTCTGTGCTCGGTTAGGGCCTCTAGACCCTGTTCTAGTCCTGCCACTGAAGCACAATGGGGAGCCCTCCCCAAGAGAGACCCCTCCAGAGTCAGAACTGGTCCTACTTCTGCTCTTCATTCCATGCACTCAACAGGAAAATGCACGGGACCCTGGCCCGGATCCTCAACCGTCTGTAGGTGCCTAATTCCCATTGATTTCAATGGGAGTTAGCCCTTTGAGGACCTGGGCATCACTTCCACTCCAACATGAAGATGGCCTACAGCTTCTCACTAAGAAAATCAAATGCAGGTACCGGATACATGTATGATACATGTGTAACCCTTCTGCCCATCAGAGTCAGCAGCAAGAAGGGCCAGGTTCGGTATCTAAGGGTTCCGTTCCAATAACGCAATGCAAAAGCAGCTCGAGCCCCCACCCAGTGACCTGAGACAAATATATACCACCCCCCTGGGCGCCTCTAAGAAGCAATACTTCCCCTCTTGCAAGCACAGAGTCTGAGTGTAGCAAAAGCCTTTTAATAATAGAGAGAAACAATGTGGCATTATGTTGGGGAAACACCACCAACAGGATTCATAACACAACCCATGAGCAAAAACCCACCCCAAGCAAATTGGGCCATGTCCTTTCCCTTTGGTTCTTGAGTCCAGCAACCCAAAAGTCACCCAAAGTCCCAAAAGTCTCTGTCCTTGGTCAGGGCAGCCCCAGAGTTCAAAAGTTTATCTACAGTTTTACCTCCCAGCCTGGGTGGAAATGGGGGGGTTCAGGGGCACCTTACGTGGTCCAAAGCCAACTGCCTTGCCTCTCCATGGGGCTCCACTCCGCTCTGCTCCACCAGCCGTCCTGTGAGCCACTCCAGCTGTCCCACAAACTGTTCTGCTCCACCAGCCATCCCATGAGCTGCTCTGCAATATATCTTCAGCCCTCCTCCCCAACACAGCACTTAGTGATTTCAGCTTTTAGCTCTTTAGTGATTTCAGCTTGTAATAGGGGAGCCTCAATGCTGGTGCATCATTGACCCAAAGTGAATTCAGCTCAGCAGCCTACAACTAGACTCCTAATAGAATCAAAACTAGCTCTGATATTCCACAATGGAGAGAGGAGAAGATACATTTAGAGCCCTCACCAGGGAGCCCATACCACCAAATATTAACACCTATCCCCAACCTCTCTCAATTCACTGCATTTTGGAACTATGACCCTTGCCTAGCGAGTGCTGCTTAGTTGATGGCGAGTCCCTCCATCATAACAAAAGGCCAAGTACAGTTCCACTGTCCTTGATTCACACAATCAGGATACTAACAGTTTATTCTTCCTGCCCCAATAACAGAGAAACTGGGACTCCTACAGCAGCCAAAGTGACCATCTAGGCAGGGGGGTGTGCCTATGCAAATGAGACCAGCCCCTGAAGTTCTTTTCCACAACCTGCCACAACTCGCCACCAGGCGTCAGGGTAGAGCTCATCCTGACTCTGCTTGCACATGCATCAGAAGCAGAGCAGGTCAGAAAATTTAGGAGTGGGGGAAATTTACGGGGGGTGGGGGTGGGGTTGACATTAAAAAATAGAAAATTTCAACCCAAAACTACCAAAACCCATTTCCCCCTCAAATTTTTCAGCTTTGAGTTTGTCAGTTTTCCAACCAAAAATATAAACATTCTTGGGGAACCAGATACTCCCTGCAACCATTTTTGTTCGGTCAAAAGCCCAATTTTCCAGCCCTAACAAACAGGTGCATCTGTAGGACAGGGAGTGTGAAGCAGACAAATTCAGATGCAGAAGCAGGCCGAGGCACTAATTAGGATCGGTGTAGGCACAGGTACCGCTGAGTACAGGTGCAGGGCTCAGACACGCTTCAGGAGGAACAAGCTCCTCTGCATTTCTGTACAGAGATCCTTATAATGCAGAGACTTTACATGCTTCATCCTGAGGCTTCTCCTTACTGGACCTCACTGACACAGAGGGTCAGTGATCTGGCTTTGCATGGCCGGAGGGCTAACTTGAAGTGCTGGCTGGGGTCACACATAAGGTTGATGGGCTCTGTACAGAGATGTGAGGAAAACACAGAGGGGACTTGGTCACCATTTCGTTCTGCCCTTTTTCACACCTCCCTGAAACATTTTGTGAAAACAGTCATTTGACTAGGGTGACCATACGTCCTGTTTTGGCTGGGACAGTCCCCTCTTTCAGCTCTGTCCGGGCCATCCGTCCATTTTTGCCAAAACTGGGCATTTGTTCCAGCTGCAAGGCAGAGCGGGGGGCGGGGGGTGTCAGCTGAAGGCAGCGCTGCTTACAGAGCTGACCCCCCCAGGTGGCGCGGAGCTCAGGCGGTCAGCCCCAGCCACGGGCGGCACGGGGGGGTGATCAGCCCCAGCCGTGGGCAGCACAGGGAGGCCAGCTCTGGCAAGCCCAGCGGGGGCGGAGAGGGCATGGCTTGGGAGAGCCCCAGCCACCCTGTTTTTACTTTAAGAAATATGGTTGCCCTTAATTTGACTGCAAAAGTGCCACAAATTTCACGCTTTCGTGACGCCAGGATCACTGTCAAAACAGCGAGAAAACACGGCAATGTTCACACAAAGAGCACTTCAGGTGTAGCTACGAGTATTTCACCCACTTTTCTTCTCACTTTAGTCCCTACTCACTCGCTTGTCCACTGCACGACAAAGTTAATTATCCCTCGTCTGGGATAACCTACACCGGTGGAGCATCCGCCAACCAAACCAAAGAGTGCGGTTTTTAAGAATCTTACTGCAAAGAACCAAGGCCATCAAAATCACCGTAAACAAAGGAGCGTCCTTGCAGCTCAGTGACAATGGCAGGTCTGGCCGGCATTAGAGGCACCATCTGCACCGTGACACAGGGGAGACAATGCTGAAGGTGTGGAGACTCAACCCCAGACCTGCTGCGGTGTCTTATCAACAAGCAGGGTGCAAATCCATGCATCTGCAACTGTCATTAAGCAAAATGCCCATCTGCTGTCCTGGGGTGGAGCACACGATTCTCTAAGGCATCAAAGGAGCTTAAGATGTGAGCGATGGAAGTGTGGCGGGCAAAAGCAGCCGCTGGCCAGCTTCCAATGAGGTGCCTAGCACTGATGGATGCTTTCACATACCGGAGCAGAACATGATAATGCCATGAGTCACCGCTCCACACCTCGCAGACTAAGGGTGACACACCTTGTGCATCTGGCCTGTTCAAAGCATTTTTGTTCCGAGTTTCTGGGACTCTTGCCAACCCGCTGATTACAATCAAAGGGCTCGCTCGCCTGATACTGCTCCCAGAATGCTGCAGACCTCTCTGTTGGAACTTGTCAAGCGCTCCTGAATTGACAATGCCTATGGAGCTCGCTCTCAGGTATCTTCCCGGGAAAGAACAGCTGACCGGAAATCTAGCCCTCCACCAGATTTCCAGCATCAGCCCCTGACCACATGTAATGTTTCACAAAAGGCCCTTTCCTCCCCAGCAATAGGACCCACGCGATGCTGCCGTGGCATGTGGACCTGCAGAAGGAGCTGGCTGGATGGCCTCGCAGCCAAGTGCGGCCCAGCAGGGTGGGATTTTGACTCCTAATTACATGCCACAGCACTGAAGCACATAACATTAGAATGGCCCCTTCTATGGCACTGAGAAGGAGAAGGCTTCGGGGGGGGGGGGCACTGGAAGTGTCTGGGGCAGCCTCCCCAACATTGCTCCTGCTTCCAATGAGCCCCCTTGAATCTCCCACCACCACTGTTCCCTCTAATTTTTGACAGGCCGTGTGCGCAAAAAAATGTTTCTGTGCAAAT